CGCTTGTCTCGTCGATGAAAATGCTCTTCAAAGTGAAAACGCTGACTCTTTATTAGCTTGTGCTCAAATGTGTTGGAGAGAGGCTTCTTGTAAAGGAGCAAATTTCCTGGCGAACAAAGGCACCTGTTCGCTTTTTGGCGAAGGACAACAAGCAAAAAAGTTGGAGAGATTTGTAAAACGGGATGATTCTTTCTATGTGAAAAAGGTATTTCGTAAATTTTGTATACTTTGCCGTTGCCATTTATTTTTTTATTCAGTGCGATCTCAACTGAATGAAACTTTCTTTGAGAGCCAGATATTTTAGGCAATGCTGTGCGGTTGTTGTTGTTGTTTTTTTTTATTTTATTGTTTTCTTTTACATGTTTATGTTTCAATTTGGTTTTCATAATCCTTTTCGTAAAGCTTGACTGGAAATCTATGTTCTAGTGTCGGAAATGCCATATAGCCGGAAGACCGGATCAATAAAAGATACATGTCGGCATGTTCTATCGTATCCATTTTGTAAATGTTTGTTATTCATTCTCATTAATTTACTTTGAAGTATTGGAAAAGAAAATTGCACCTGTCGCTTTCATCTGTATGTACCCTCTCAGGTAGCCTGAATCAAAGACTACTTTAAATGAACCGTGATAAAATTCCACAGCAAGCTAACAGTTTAAAAAATTATTAGAGAAAAAACCTAGAGCAAAAAAAGATGACCAAAATTGAACTTCGTTGCGGTTCACAGGTTGTCTCTCCTGGAATATCTGGTCCACGAGGTATGTGATCATTTTCTATATTCACCATGTCTTCCTTGTACCCAAAAGGGCTCCGTGATTAAGACCTATTCTATGAATAGAAGTAAAGCTGTTCGAAAGAACTAATTGTACCACACACCTTTTAATGCACCGCAACGAAAAAGGGGTTGACGCATAAGGTCACTGTAGCAACGTTCCACCCTGTAATTGAGCTCTGTACTTTTGTAACGCAGGGCAAATTAGTCGACCCCATTCCATCAGGGCAAAGCACCAGAGTGCCTATGCCTAGAATTGCACGGTTCAACCTAACATTTAGCAGTAACCGCGAGCCAGACTCTCCTCAACTAATGTCCCACTTCGACTTCGGGTGTTTATTGGATTGGTCCTCATCGTGAATCCCCTGTCAACTTATTCAAAGCTCTCTGTGACATGGAGACTGATGGGGAAGGTTAACTTAAACGGTTCGAAGTTTTTCCTTTCCTATATATATCACCAAAAGAGGTGATACTAGTCAAATTTTTATACCTATTCGTACATGATTGTATTGTCGATGAATAGCCCGACTGTTGCCAGTATGAAAATAAATCCTACTTCTGATACCAAACATGTTGTTATCGTCTTTCCGAAACATCTGTTACCCTGTAGGTCAAAGCATTCCCTTGCACTCTGGTTCAACCCAGCATTCAGCAGGACACTCGTGTCAGACTATCCTCAGTAAATATCCTACTTTGATCTCTGGCGTTTATTGGATTGATCCTGATGGTGGATCCCAGGCCAACGCTTTCAAGGCTTACTGTGACATGGAGACTGATGGAGGAGGCTGGACACTAGTGTGGAGCTATTCCTTCACTAATTATAGTCATTTTACGAGCAAATCAAATGCAATCACTCCGAGGCCAAATTGGCCGGTGAGACCCGAAGTGGATGTTCCTATCTCCACAACTCCTCCATCAAATGAAATAGACTACAACGCCATAAACTTCTCACTTTGGAAACAACTCGGCAGACAGGTTCTCATCAAGAGCAACGTAAACAACTGGCTGGTGTGTCATCCGGGAAATGGCAGCTTGGTCGATTGGCAGGAAGGTGACGTGAACTGTAAGATAATTAAACTCGTGATTGACCCAAGCATATCATTTTCTTCTGCGCCTTCTGAGTTTTCGCCGAACCGAGCCTATGGACCGCTGTTCTACCTGAGTACACCCTGGGGGAGCATTTCCTATTACTTTGATGGTTTTACAGGAAATCATTGGCCTACCCATGATCCTAGTGGAAGCAATAGGCCTAACCAAAAGAAGAATGTTGTTAATCCACATGGAAACATTTTTGTTCGACCTTGAAAATATTAAAGATGCATTAGTAAATGAAATAAATGGCATAAATAAAAAATTCAATATCACTTTGAAGTTCAAGCCGGCTGATGACTCGCAATTCAAATTTAGTGTTTTGTAAACATTTTTTCTTTAAAACGTTCAATACACATTACTTTTAAAAATATTCAGACTGAAATATTGACTTCGGCATCTACGTTATTACTTTGTTTCATCTCAAATGCGTTTGCGAGGCCGGTTGGTAACAATAATTTTGCTCTAGGACACGCATTTTTAAACATTTACATTTTCATTTGTACTCAAAACATTTAAGTTTCCTTGCTAGGTGTTTCAAACAACTTTACTGCAGTTAGATGTTCAGTTTTAATTCGTCTTCCTCTAATTTTTTCGTCATTCATTTTTCCGTTGAAGCCTTTTGGATGTTCTTCCCAAATGCTGTTTATTTATAGAAGTCATGATAACTGCATTATCAACCTGCTGGGCTTTTGTTTTTCAGTTTAAAGTCAAAAAAGAGTTGTGGAGTAATTGGAAACGTATTGTAAAGAAAACAAAATTTCAAAGCTGTATTTCTCT